CCTCCTTATCCATGCTCTCAATTGTCCCCAGATTGAACAAATGCAGGCTTCCCCAAATAGGCAGGCAGATTGTCTGGTTTCCTGTGAGGAAGGCAGCCACTTTTTTCTCTTGCCAGGAAGGCAAGTAGTCATGTTGGTGGCAGGTTGAGAGTATTATTTGGCTGTTATTGAAGAGTGTGGCTGTCTCTGCAGAACCAGTTCACCCTATTATTTGCTCATCCTGCCATTTGCCTTGTCAGTGCTCAGGAGGGGAGCATCCAGCCTGTTTAATGTTTCGGATCTGTGACCTTTAATCAGCACTGGGGAAATGTAATGTTGTAACAAGGGGTGGGTGGGGCAAGTGCAAAGACTAAGACAGGAGAGGGTCAATGGGAATGGACTTGGAATTAGAAAAAAACAAAATAAAAGGCTGGAGGAGGTTAGCAATGAACTGCAAGAAAAATAAAGGTAACAAACCAAAAAAGACAATAAAATGGGGCAGATCATGGTGTGAAATAGTTGGACCCAATGTTGAATGTCGAAGCAGAATCATGCTTAATTGAAAGATGAGACTTGTCAACCCACCTACAATGGCCAGGAGTCTGTTGGATTCAGCCACTATCTCCTGGCTGCTTTTAAAAGCAAATTGGGAGAGTTTAAAGGTAGTTTAAAATGTTTACTTTTCCTTGCATTTGTCACCAGGTAAAGAACAAATGACTTGATGATGATGGGCTTGTAGCACAAGTTGAAATTCGTGGTTAAGATGTTGTAGGTATCACAGAGACTCAGCTGCAAAAGGATCAGGGCTGGGACTAAATATCCAAGGATATATGTCCTATCAAGAGGACAGACACATGGGCAGACTGGGTGGACTTACCTTGTTAGAAAGAAATGAAATTAAATCAGTGCGAAGAAGCAATATTGGGCTAGAAGGAGTTGAATCCATCTGGGTAGAGTTGAGGAGCCACAAAGGAAAAAAGTCCCTGATAGTAGTTATCTAGAGGCCTCCTAGCAGTAGTCAGGAAATGGGACAGAAAATAAATCGAGAAGTAGAAAAGACTCATGCACTTTCTGCCTCTTCTGATGATTACCCATCTACAATTCCAAAGTCATTGACCTACATTGTTGTCCTACCCAACAGTGCCCTAATTTTTAAATACTCATCCATGTTTCCATGATCTCTTACTCACCATCAGCTGGTTAAGCCTCCAAATAGCCTGCTGCCTTCCAGCTCTGACTTCTCGGGTATCCTCTATGTTCCTTTATTCCACTGTTGCAGGCTGCAAATTCAGTAGCCGTGGCCCTCATCCAGTGAATTTCCTCCCTAAATGTCATCATCCCTCTATCTTGCACTTCCTTTCAGAGCCTCCTGAAAACATAACTCAGAACCTAACATCCTCTGATGATGCTAATTTTCTGAGGTGAAAAATCTGATCAAATGTCTGAGAAATAACTGGATATATTTTGCTACATTAAAGACGTTATATAAATACAAGGTAATATTGGTCTCGATACCTCAAAAGACAGGGAAGTGCCCACTGTCTAATATTGGCATCATTCCCTGGCTTTGGAAATGGCCAGGAGAACTATTCCAGACAAATGGCATGGATAAGACTCATCCCATTGTAAATTCCATGCTAAGGCAGGCTTTGGCACTGAGAAAAGAGGTTGAAATTGGAGGTGTAAGTCTCTATCTTAGTGTCTGCAGTGTGTGCTGGATCTGTGAGAACGTAATTTCTAGGAACTGAAAGAGATTTCACAGCGAGTGACATCCCTAACAATGAGTAATGTATTTACCCATTCATTTGGAGATAATATGGTGCGTAATTAATTTTTAATAGTTTTTTAATGAGCAGTTTTCCTTTCGTTCAGTGAAAGACAATGTAAAAGAGATGAGGATTGAAATATGTCTCCAGTAATTTTTCCAAGATGTACAGGTGAGGCAGTGCCTTCACTTCCTATGCATCCCAACCCCATTGTAAGGGCTTTGAATTTCTCCCTGGAGTGTGTGAGTCTTTGTGGAGTGGTACAGGTCACACTCACCTGCCTTTACTGCAAACTCTCTCTGGACAGCTTGTGTAATAGGGTGCCTTTTTCTCAGTCTGCAGAAATCCGTTCCTTTCAGCCCTTACTCCAGCCAGCTGATCACAACTGTTTCAGAAAACCTAGGGACGTTCTGCCTCCAGGTCCTTCATTAAACGAGGGAAGATTCACTCAAAGAGAGTGACTTAATGAATAAACGCTATTGTTTTAAAAGAGAGAGAAAAATAAACATTCAAAATAATTTGCCGTGTAGTGTAATACTTAAAACACATTGGAACCATTCAAATAGGTACTGGAATTAATCAGAATTTGATATGAAACATGAGGGTACAGAACGATGTTGTTGTAGAGTTAGGGCTCTGAAGGGATGATATAATGAGAGAGTTATTGCCCGTCCGAATGCACGGCTTCTAACTCAAATGTGTCACGAGTTACACCATACTGAGACAAACTGTAACAGTAAAGCAGCTTCACACAAAACCAGCCATAGTGGTCCCAATTATCCATTCCTACACTTTGTCAATGTGACGTTTAAACTCAACTTAAATGTATCCTCCCTTTCAACCTCCAAATTATAATGTACACAATGAGAATCTCCAAATCGTTGGCTCCTTTTTATATTCTATGTTATCTAATGTTACTGGGCATCCTTCATCATAAGACAAGGGACTTTGTGTCGATGATTTGTGGTATTTTCCCAGGTGACCACTGCTGGCACCTTGTGTTATTTGCCATTTCTACCAGTAGGAGATACTGGGCAAGGGTTATATGAATTGTTCACTGCCACCAATGCTCCTTTGTCTTTGGCAAATGTTGTGATTGCTCATAGAGGATACACTCCTGTAGAGTACAGAAGAGATATTGTTAATAGAAAACAAGAAAGTTATTGCATCATAGCAATATGTATACCGCAGTTAGGCATTCATAATGACTAGGACCTTATGGAGCAGATATATCAGCTCGCTCCAAAAACTAAAGTCCTACTACTGATCTCCACCCACAAACTGTGTGTCATCACAACTTCAGTTTGAAGATTGCCTTAACAATTGTGCGTCACTGATCCACAGGCCATCGTGAAATATATAGTGCATAAAATCACAATGAACCACAAAAATGAACAATTTGCCTGACTGACTGCTCCTCAGGACAAAAGCAATCCACAGCAGATTTTGTCAGTATCTGTGAAATAACTATTTATTGTAGTACCCGTAACTGCAACAACAGCAGAGAGAAAAAAGACTATCTCTTCCAAGACTGCACCCTTTCAAAACCTTAAATACACGTACATTCAAACATGATTTAAGACAAAAGAAAAATGGCTTAACATATATTGTGGGTGGAAAAGCAATATATACAGGATAAAAATAATTCTGAAAAGCAAAACTCTAGACCATAAGGTTGAAAGTGATTTTTATCAGTTCTTTAGATTTTTACAATGAAGATATGCTGTACGGTGATGGTTGTTCTTTGACTCAGTGGGTGCTCAAGCCTTGACTTGTTTTAGACTTTTTTTCATTTGATCTACCAAAGTTTTTTTTTTTATCTTCTCCACACACACACACACACACACATACACACACAGAAATGTAGAGATGGATGCTTTCTCACTGTGGGTTCTGGATTTTTTTTCTCTGCTCTTCTTGGCATAATGGATGTGTAGATTAGGTGGGTTATAGGGGGATGGGTCTGGGTGGGATGCTCTGAGGTTCGGTGTGGACTTGTTGGGCCAAAGGGCCTGTTTCCACATTGTAGGGATTCTACATTAAAAAAAAGCTTACAACATTTTAACACTGCAGATCAACCAATCAGAGGGCTGTTGTCAGGCAGAATTTCCTTAACTTGAAAGATACTTCCTGCTGCTCAGTCTTGAATCCTCCCTCTTTCTGCTACAGAAAGCAACATTGTATTACACAACTCAAAAATATGCAACAATAGATTTTCAAGTTGCAAAGCTCTTCTGGTCTTTCTGTAACATCAGTTGTTTCAGTTTATAGTCCCAAAAACCAAAAGACAGGGAATCTTCAATTTATGAAAGCCTGACAAGTACACTCATACTTGTGAACATGGTCTCACACAGGTTTAGTTTTAAGAATCTGACATACAGATATTTCCTGTATGTGCAAATGGTTCCTTTGTAATGCTCTGCATTATGTTCCAAGATGTGTTCAAATTGACTTGCAAATAGATTTCAAAACAGAATCCTTACACAACCTGGGGACTGTCTGTAAATAGTGTGACATCAGTAACTGGGTAGAGCTGATATAACACCAACATGAACCCCATCAGAACCATCACCTTATACAACATTTCATACATAATTAATTTGATCTACAGTCTCTGTTATTACAGAGTATTGGCAAGTACAGAAGCAATGTTGTACAAGATCACAGAAGAGAGGAAATTATCAGGTTTTTTTGTGGTATTGTTGGCACAAGATCTTCCTGATCATATTCAAGTTGTGTTACATTGTCAAGATCTATTGCAGAGATTTGAGCCGATACTCCAAGTTGATATTTTGGTGCTGTGCAGGGAGAGTGCTGAATTGTCAGAGATGTTGCCTTTTAAAGGAGACATTAAACTGATACCCTGTCTGCCCTCTCAGGTGGCCGTAAATTATTCCATCACATCTTTCAAAAAGAGCAGTGGGGTTCACTTCAAGAGTATGTAATTAGCTATTTGGGCCATTGTAAAATTATGAGAAGTGTGGTGTTATTGGATGGTAACATTCAAGTTGTTAATATTTCCTGAATTGAACTATCAGAACAGACAGGTAGGGCCACAAGTAAATGCCAATATCAAAGGGATCGTCTTTTGAACAGGTAGCACTGCCTCACCACTGTGCTGTTCTATCAGCTGAGATCATGGGCCCATATGGGCGTGTGCTAGTGCGCACAATGGTAGCACTTTGCTTGTCTCTAATTGTTACTACAGCAAATCAGACAGTCAATCCTCACCACTGTTTCCTTGCCTGTTCTCAGCTTTGATCCAAGCCCAATAAGACGACACACCTTCTGGACGATCGTGGTTGGTGGAACCTTTGTGTGGACAGCTATTTATGGCATCAATCAGTCTCAGGTTCAGCGGTACATTGCTTGTAGAAGCCAGCTTGAGGCCAAGCTGTAAGTATCAGCTCTACAGTTGCCTGTGTCTATTGCAGTATGTGACATGGGGCTCAAGTATTTCAGCGGTGATTATGTTACAGGTGCTATAAATAAATCCATTTCATGTTGCCTACAATCTCCAGGTATTCTTCGACCATGGCACCAGCTCCTCTCTACTTGTCCCAATCATTATCCTGTTTGTAAAACGGTGCAGAGGAAACCCCAGCCTAAGGATTAATCAAATCAAACCACCACAAGATTTATAAGTTCATATTTTACTGTTGGATCAATCAGAATTCGATATTTTAATAGCTCCATAAACACCTATATTGATCATGATTCACTGATGTGATAGATCTATGGAAAAACACACCTTAACAGGAATAAGGATTTTCTACCATTACAAATGTGCAGAGCTTCTCATTACTGCAATCACTGCAACATCTGTGTTTTTAAATCTTTCTTTGTTATGAGGGCATGTTGAAAAAAATATTTTGCCATTGTGCTGTGTGATTCCTGAAAAATAGAAAAGTTGGTTGCATAAACATGGTTCTCAGTCTCAGACTTGTCACAATCTCTGGAGTTCTTTGGTCCAGGGCTGACAGTACACCTTATTTTTTTCCCCCCAGAACTATATTGACTTGTTTTATTTTTATGAATGTCTCCCAACAATTATAAAATGCTCACTTCCTGTCTCTTGAAACTGCCATTCTCAGATTTTCTTTATTTCAGATCACTCTACATCAATTTGGTTGGCCTGTGGATAATAGCCATTTGTGCAGTATTTACTGGTCTCACTATGTACTCTGTTTATCACCAATGTGATCCCCTGACTCGGAAAAAAGTCAGAGCGTCAGACCAGGTAAGCTGTCAGCAGCGAGGTCATGGAGTATCCTTACAGCTCATGAGGACATGTCGTCCACTGGGTTCATGCCAGGTCTCTGTAGAGCAATTCAGTTAGTCATATTCCCTTGCTCCATGACCAGAAATCCTACTAGTTACCTGTGTCAAACGCCTATCTAGTTCTCTTGTGAAATCATTGATCATTTCACCTTCCTCCGAAGCAGTGAATTCCAGGTGATTACCAGTTGGTACATTAAACAGTTTGCCCCAATATCTCTTGCCCTTAAATCCTTGTCCTCTAGTCTTGGTGTCATCAACTAATGGCAAAAGCTTTATTTTGCCCACCTTATTAAACATTCATACTCCTTTATATCTCTATTTCCAACTTTACTCCAAGGAGAACAATCCACTTTCTCCAACTTAACCCTGTAGCTAAACTCCCCCATCCTTGGTGAATTCTGGTAAATCTCCTCTATACTTCTGTAACTCTGTAGCAGGTTTCCTCAAGTGTGGAGACCAGAACTGGACATATTACTCTAACAGCAGTCTGACCAGAGATATATTAAAGATTCAATGTAATTGTTCCTGCTTTTTAATTCAATAGTTCTATATGTGAAGGCCAAGATCCCATTTGTTTTACTTAATACAGTTTCAGCATATACTGCCGGTATTAAAAATTTATGCACATGAACCTTCCAAACACTTCTATCCATGCCCTATCTTTAAAGTTGTACCATTAAGTAAATGTACATTTCCCCTCTCCATCTGTTCTGACAAAATGCATCACCTCACTCTTCTCTGTGTTAAATTTCTCCTGGCCCACTCTGCCTATCCTGCAAGTCGTGTTGCATTCAATTGGTACCATCCACATGGTTTGTCATTGTTCCAAGTTTGATATCTTCAGCACTTGGGGAAGTTTTGCCCTGTATTCAGATGTCAAGTCAAACAGTGAATCTGGAACGGACTCTTGGGTAACACCACTATCTACCACCCTGGAATCTGAAATATAACCATTTACAACTTGCTGTTTTCCACCCTTATTGCCATTTGTTTGATCCAAGCTGATGTTGACCACAATTGCGTGAGGTTAAATTGTATAACTTTCCTTGGATATGGTACATCTGTCAATTGCTTTCTCACAATCAATATAAGCAAAATCCACTGCGTTTTCTTCATTCACATTCTCAGTCACTTCATCAAAACGTCCAACCAGGTTCATCAAAACAAACTTTCCAAACTGCCTGTTTATTATTTCTAACATCTCACTGACCACTGATGTTAAGCTGGCCAGTCTGTGGTTATCGGGAATGTACATATGCATTTTCTTGAACAAGGTTGTCACATTTATGACTTTCCATCCTTTGACACCTCCCTTGTCTCGAGAAAAATTCTGTGAATATGGCAAGTTGTTTCGCTAACTGCCCCCATGCTTCCCTCGTAACCTGAGATGCAAACCATCTGGGCTGTGTGATTAATCTACTGTCAGACTTTACGTTTCGATAGCCATCCCTGTAAATCCTACTTTAAAATTTCAGCCTATGCCACTACCATGTATATATTTTCTGATATTTTGTCAGCATCTCCTTTGTAAAGATTGATGCAATGTGCTCACTAAGTATACTAGCGCGGTCCTGTTGGCTGTTAGCATTCTTAGTCCCTGATAATCTGTTGCATATCATTGGGGTAGTGCACTGGAAATCAAACCCCACTTTCACCAGGGTCAGAACAAAAGCTAAAGGTTGTTAGAAGTACACACAATTCCCCAATTTACCTGTTTTCAGACCAGACATAAAGCAGTTTTCTGTACTTTACAAGAATGACTATTTATTACTCATAAATAGGTTATAACTACAGATAAATAATAATGAACTGTATGACATGTTTTACAGAACTGCGATATGACTTTATGAAGTCTTGGCCATGTAAAATATCAGTTTATTGATGCCTGCATTTTCTGTATTCCTTCATGTCAGGGAGGTGATGGCCTAGTGGTATTATCGCTGCACTGTTGATCCAGACACCCAGATAACTTTCTGGAGACCTGGGTTTGAATCCCACCATGGCAGATGGTGAAATTTGAATTCAAATTTTATGATTGTTGGAAAAGCCCATCCTGTTCACTAATGTCCTTTAGGGAAGGAAAGTACCGTCCTTACCTGGTCTGGCCTACATGTGAATCCAGACCCACAGCAATGTGGTTGATTCTTGGGCAATAAATGCTGGCCTAGCCAGTGACGCTCTCATCCTATGAGTGAATAAAGAAAAAAAATTGTTCTTCCAGTGGTATTTCATGTGCTACTCACAATATCTGGATGGTACCAATATTTGATGAACATTCTTCACGTGCATGCCTGTGAGACTTTCTCCACTTCAATGTGAGAACTCCACTTTGAATGCAACAACATTCTGGAACTCCTTTGGCTTCAGCCTCACTGTCACCTGTCTATGCCACCTTACTCAAGCCTGGATCTGCTTCTTGAGCTTCAATTAATGAAACCATGCCAAACACCTCTTTTGAATTACCCTCATTCTTAAATAAATTTTCTCTTTGCTTGGGGTATTTCTGTGACTTCGGGTGATGCGCTTTTTTAGCCATTAATCTGATCACTGCACACAATGGAAAACTTCCAAAAATTGCAACTGTTCTGTCTCATTAGCCTCAACTGGACTTTCTGTGATAATAATCAAAGCTGTAACTTCCATTCTCGCGTGTATTTCCCAGAAGTATATCAACTCCATTCACAGGTAATTCTTTAACAACCCCAACTCCCACTAGTCCTGGCAACAAGTCAACTCCAATTGGACTTTGTTCAATGGAATGAGGATAAACTCTGTCCCCATCCCATTCACCAACACTTTGGTTTTCATTGAATTCTCTGGAGGGAAAATTAAATCCTCGAGCAAGTTTGAGTAGCCCCTGTATCTCTTAGTATAGGTTTGGCTTGGATGCTTTCTTTGAAGAAAAAAAGGTTATCTCCCCTTTAGACCAAAACCCCTCATATTTGTCATCTACACTATGTAATTCTAATACACTCACAGCAGTGTTGACCTCCAGTTCCCTAGTTGTAGTAAAGCTACAATCTGATCTGTGGTCTTTTCCCGCTGAGTTTCTATTTCAGACTCATTCTTACAATTTCCAGTATGTCCCATGGGTTTACCTCACAACTTCCAGCATTCTGTGTGAATTTGTTGCATCTTGTTACGGTGGAAACACTTCGGCTTCTGCAAGTCCACCCTCAGTAACTCCCCTTCTTTGATCTTGGGGCATTCCCAGCTATCCATTCCTTACATTGGATTCTTGCTTTTTTTTTCTACGGTCTCATTTCCTATCCCTTGCAAATTTAAGGGGTTGACAGGAAAAAAGGCTTAGCTTTATGGATTGGCTCGTAATCATCAGCCATTATTGATGCCTGTTTAGCAGTTGGTCCCCACCATGCGTTCTTAATACTGAAGGTCATAAGTTTTAAATTCTTCTAAGAACATAGCCTCTCTAAGAGCTTCATACATGATTTCACCTTCTACTGCTTGTAACAACTCGTCCAAGTTACTTTGCTTCACTGTTTTGAATTCAAACGTGTTTCTTTAAATTGTAGATCCCTCGCCTAAATGCCTCAGGCAGTAAGTTATATATAGCTAATATAGGTTTCTTTGCAATATTGTAATCATGTGAAAATTCCTGTGAAAATGAAACATAAACTTGTGTTTTGCTTCCTCTGTGCTTTGCCTGTTAACTTACTCTGCATGGGCAATGTCTAGTCCTGTTTAGCCCGATTCATTTGTGTTGCTGTTTTCACCAATGACATGAAGAATGTGTCCATATTCTTGGTTGGGCCTGTGCAAACATGGACATTTCCTTGTTGGTTTTTAAATTAAAGCTGAAATTCTCCTAACCAAGACCTGCATCGGTATCTGACCTCTCCTGTTTCAATGGCATCATTTTAAGCTGATATTCATGTTCTCTGTCTTCTCTTTCTCTTTGCAATTCTAAGTTTCTCGTTTTTTTTTCATTTCTTTTGAATCTCTTCTTTTTTGTCTTTGTCTTTCCTTTGGAATGCCATCTCTAGTTTTTCATTCTCTCTTCGTGCTTAAGCTTCTTTATCAGAAACTGAATATTACCTAATTCTGGTATTAAATTCCCTGTTTATATTGGTCAGTCAGGGCTCCCTTGGCTAACCAAACTACTTGGTCTTTCTTCTATTCCCTCTTATCTTAAGTATCTAGTACTTCAATGATCTCTGCCTTCCACTTCTGTCAGGCAGTCTACCTCCAGGTAATAGACCAAGTCAATCAATCTGACCTTTGAACTTTTCCTCATGGACGACTCTGCCACCTGCAAGATATCCTTTGCCAGTGTCATGTATTAAATATCAGACAGCACCTTTTTTTTCTAACCTTCAGCTGTTTTATTTATGAATACTACAACCTAATCCTCAATGCCATTGTTTCAAATCAATCCTGTACAAGCCACCAAATATTGTTGAGCCTTGCTGGAGTAATCTATTAGACATCAAGCTCTGCTATTCCCACTGTCATCACAGAAGCCAAAAATTTTAAAAAGTATGCAGATTTCTCCAATTTTCCTGTCTTCAGATCCATGTTGACAGAAACACCGACTAGGTTTCTGTAGTTAACAAGATAGACTATTTGCTACAAATAAATAGATTCTAATTCCAAATAAACAATTATGAACTGTCAGCATATAACTGTACGAGGTAAAACTCTAACCTGTTTATAAACTTCCCTCTACACACACAGACAATGTAGTGATTGGAGCCATGTGGATCTCTTTGACTAAGCTTGTTGACTTCTGCCAATCAGGGAGCCCTGGCCAGCCAGTATAAACAGGGAATTTAGAATCTCTGCACTTCAGGGACTGACTCCGAGCTGGTTGGCCACAGCCAGTGTACTGTGCACATGTAAATAAAGGGTGACTTGGTGATGGGATACCGACCTCCATGTGATTATTTCAGACAGGCACAGGAAGGGAAAAGATAACAAGAGTGTTAAGAGTGGAGGGAAAGTTAGTTCAGTGGTCCCTGTCCACTGGGTTTATTGAGGTGATTCCTGTGCTGATCAGAACATTGCTTCTCAATCTGCCTTCTCCAGATACTTTCATCTGTTTCTAAGGCACAGAGTGACTGATTCTCATTTATTGATAAGTCAAAGACCATTATTATTAGTCAGAGCTTACAGTAACTAGAAGGGGGAAATAAACTGGCTGTCTTCAGGTTTGAAATGCTTTTCAGTGCAGACCAGAAACAACAATTCCTTTTGAGGTCTGATGATTTCTACCAAAACATTCACAGCCCCAAGTTGTGTTCAGCTGCCTGGGAGCCAATCACAAAGTTGTTGGCAGGCAGAAGACCTCTTTCATCAATGACTGGCCACTAGACCACAGACCAATCAGCTACTTGTTGCCAGTCAAAGCTCCATTTGTACACACCCCTCGGACCAGCTCATCTACAAACCAGACTTCCATTACTGCTTGGAGCAAGTAGCTGTGTAAACAGTACTTACAATGAGTGTCAGGCTACTTGCTTTTGAAAAGTGCAGAAATCTTTCAACAATCGTTTTCTTATTTCATCCACTATCAAAAATAGAGGAAAAATAAAAAGATAAGGCTCTTATAGAGCACCAAATCCACTCTTTAGTAGCTACCTCTATAGATATGTGAAGTGAAAGGATTAGTGAAGACAAATGTAGGCCCCTTATAGTCAGAAACAGGGGAAGTTATAATAGGGACCAAAGAGATATCCTGTGCCTGCTCCTATTTTCAAAGTTTTTTACTATGTAAATACCAGTAGAAGTTCTTTGCATTCCCTTTTATGTTAATTGCCAATCTATTCTCATATTCTGTCTCAGTCAGTCTAGTTATTCTCTTCACCACAACTCCCAAACTTATTCTATTTGACCTAGTTCTTGCTTACAGTATTCACCATCATACATCTTACACTCTTTTTATTGTTTCAGTATATCCTCTGTTTCCCATGTTGTCAAAGCAAACACAAGAGCCTTTTGCCCTTTGGAATTTATGTTGTTGGATTATATCTCACTTATATGTGAAACATCTCCTCTATAACGACTAACCATTGTTCCTTGTTAGTTTTCAATGTCAAACCTTATTTTCTGAAAAAACCAAAAGAACTGCAGATGCTGTAAATCAGGAACAAAAACAAAGTTGCTGGAAAAGCTGAGCAGGTCTGGCAGCATCTGTGAAAGAGAAAACCGAGTTAACGTTTCGGGTC